ATTGAGAGGTATTATGGATTCAAGTTTTAGAGGAGAAAGCGGAGAGTGGGAGAATGTATGTATGTATACGTGTATATGTGTATATATGTATATACATCGATAACTATAAGCTTCGAGGAAAAATATAATCGCCAGGACGAAGAATTTATTTTGTATGACAGATGAGAAAATGTAAAGTGATGAAGAAAGAAGATGAAATTTTCCATCTCATTCTTCGATATCTCTATATTGTATTATATCTCAGTGCTGGCATGATATAATAGGTGCAGGTTTGACATCTATTGACCTTCCTGGAAAACTATCTCAGCTCGCTCTATCATAGAAGAAGCCTATCTTTCTTTCACACACACTCATTTTCCCATCGCGTTCGCAATTAATCTGAAATCCACATCTCCGTTTCCACATTTACATTTCTCCGCATAGAGAAATGACGACGGGTAATTGTGGAGCATCCTTTGGATTCGTGCGAGTATTTTCCATTTTACGGACGACGTCCATTCCATCGACTACTTTGCCAAAGACAACATGTTTATTATCGAGGAAGGGGGTTGGGACTGTGGTTATGAAGACTAGAGGTATGTTAGTGGTTTGATTTGGGTGTGGTGACAAAGTAAAGGGGAGGAATATGCAAATCGGATGTAAAAAGATGAGATGACTTACATTGAGAACCATTGGTATTTGGACCAGCATTCTACACCCAAATTAGTTTCATATCCAGCCACCGGACTACGAGGAAGATTGGACAAAAACATACCGCCATGGACAAAAGTCCCGGTTCCGTATGCTTATGGGTAAAATTCTCATCATCGAATTTACTCAGTCCATAAATACAAGTAGAGCCCGTACCATCGCCATTCAAGAAATCACCCCCCTGACACATGAAATCCTTGATCTATACGACATGTTAGAAGTGAATCAGCGCAAGAGGGAAGGGGCCATACGATTCGATGGAATTTACTGCCTTTGTATCCTTGCGGTCTACCAAGATGATTTTTGGTTTCCCCGGTACAGAATTGACGGAAATTCTCGGCCGTCTTGGGAACGACATCGGCGAAGAGCTCAAATTGAATACGTCCGAGTGGCTCACCTGGTTGATGTTAGAGATTCATGTACTACCTAGGTATCTTCAGGATTGGAGATGTTCGAAGATAACACGTGATGAACAGACAAACAAAAAACCGGTTCCTCAAGCTACTAGCTGGAAATACCGGAACACTCCTTCAAAAATAAAGGGGAGTGAAGCACGTGGGCAAAAGAAGCCGAAGACAAAGAGATCAGCGATCACACGATTTGATGTGGAAGGACCCGGTACTTCGGAATGCTAAACATTTAGACTCCGCCGTTTCCGGGTTTAAAGATATGCATGAAAAATAGTATAGTTTCTGGATGGATCATGCCGTAAGATGACTAACCTCCAATTGTAATATCAAAGAAGACTCTATTCACATATTTGTCAGTACATCGTGCTCTTCTCCAGACGTTAAGGTTGCAATCAGCTAGGTATACGAACAGAGGGTTCCCCGACGCGGGTAACTGAGTTGGTGGCATATTTTAAAGAAGGGGTGGGTGTTGAGATATGTCCGAAAGAGGAAATCTTTCTGGTTAACCCCGATTGTCCTACTGCAAGCGTAGGTATCGTTCCCGAATTTGTATCCAAAGGTCCAAAGCGTACCTATTCAATACGGTGTATTGGAGGTGGGAATCGCGAATTGGAATCTTTGACAGGGTTTAACAATCGATCTAGAAGTGTTGTGGGCAAATAGAAGCCGTATGATTAGTGAGGAGATAAAGAATTCCTTGTCGAATCAAAAATGACGAGAATGATTTGGATGATGTAAGGTCACTTTAGATGGTTTGTTGTAACTTTGTCAGGTGTTAATCTTTGTGTGGTATTTGAAAAACACGGGTCATTCCTTAGAAAAAAGGTCTCTCGGCAGACAAGATTGATCGTCGCTTTGTAAAGTTTAGCGTCATATATGTGCAGAACTAATTGTACAAGTTACAAGGGTTTTGCGAGGGGAAAATCAGAAAAGCTTGATTTTTCATCACAGATCATGATGAATGGATGAATAAATCCACTGCTGGAAGATACGGCACGGATTTGAGTCTTTTACCTGGAGAGAGAGGAGAGGCGAGGAGAAGAGAGGAGGTAAGGTAGAGGATACTGTCACGAATCATCAAGAATCATTACCTACCCGTGATCTAATCCTCAAGACTCTCGGCCAAAAGTTGATTGTTCCCATATCTACGTGACATTGCTTGGCCGTTGACTTTCACGAGGTAGGATATCTGACATGTACATCCATATGCCAATCGATCAATCGTTGGCTGCATGTATGAAAGTGGCCATACGATACACTAGCCAGATACACGAAAACGAGAAGAGAACCGCTCTTTGAACTTGGTGACGGGGAAGAGATTCATTGATAATCAGATAAACAGTCTACCTCACAATGAAAGAGATGTGATATCGGCAAGATCAATACGAGTGAGTGCATGCACATCTTCAAACTGGTGATGTACTGATAGGTATCATGGGATGTCACCACACTGCGATCTTCCAGGTTTCTCTCTTCTTGCATGATGAATCAAGGAGGGATGGTTTAGTATCAAACTCAACGCGCTCCGAAATCCCCGGGTTGATATTATCCAATGATATCAGTTCAGATGGTACTGAGACGGACGTTGTATGCATGTACTGAATGCACTGTAATCCCATCTCTCACCATTTTGTTTGGAGGAGTCTTTAAAGGAGGCACAATTGTCTCAGATTTACACGTTTTTGGAAGATTCATGATCGCTTCCGGTCTCTCCATCCTTTATGAAAATTGTTTGAAGTGAGAACATAGCTAGATATCCACGATGTAGTAGGTAGTAGGTAGGAGGTAGGGAGTAATCTTACATGCACACACCCGAATCGAAATTCCAAAACCCATTCGTGTGGATGGATGCATCTAGAGTGACTAGGAGAATTCCGGATTGTGTATCCGATCCATATCTAGATTCCATGTGGCTTACCATTCGGGATTTGTCTTGCCCATTGCAAGTTGCAACACCATGGATGCTTTTCATGAAGTCCAATCATTTCGTACGGATGGCCGTTTGCCGTCGACCGTTACCAAACTTGTAAGGTGTAGGTTAGGTAGGACCCGACTGTTCTTTTTATTTGTTGTGTGGGAGTGAGATGGTGAAAAGTATTTCAAATACTTGCTTGGTGGGATGGGAGAGAGAAAAGGGAGGCGTAGAATTGAAGGAAAGTTGTGTGTGTATTTATATTATCGCCATCATAATAACCATAACCACCTGGGCATTACCGTATGAAGCTTTGTAGATAATTGTTAATATCGGATGTATCTTTTCTCTGTTCTTGTATTTTTAGTATTGAGAAGTTTTATTTACAAGAGTATCTAGGTATTTTGATTCCTCTCCTCTCTATTTGCGTGCTATACACTTCTTTGTATATTCGTCTAAATGATAATATTCTTTACACTTCACTTCTAGATCTATCATCTATGAGATCTCTTCATTATCCAATACTATCACGAGTATTTATGATATACGATATTTGAGTACACACTTACATATACACCTAGTCATTCTTGGGATCCACCACTTGCCTAGGTACTCAAGTACTCCGCAAAAAGAAATTCCAAAACCTGTCTGAACGCATTCGGGAAGTACATTTTAACTAGCTGGGTATGTGAGTGTGTAAATGTAAATATGTATGATATGGATCTCATGTATCTAATATGTATGAAGTACTATGAACATCGTGGGTTATCATTTAATTCACTCACCTGCCTATCACTCTCATATCTTACTCCCACTTTGATTTTATATTGGTAACGGTGATGATAATGGTCATGGTAACGGTATTAATATCAACATCAATATCTGTTTCCGTTCAAATTCATTCAAATCCACTCAATCCACTCAATCCATTCAATCCAATTCACATCCAGTCAAAATATCTAAACAAAGACTCAAGCACTCGAGTACTCTTTGATCATTGTTGATCTACCATTGATTTCATCACATTCTCATTCCTCTTGCCTTACATCCTGACTCGATTGGAGTCCCCGACCATCGATTTGGATCAATTTTCCGCTCGATTTCCAAATCATTAACGCCTTGCTTTGACTTCCTCTTGAGCCATTTTTTAAATCAAAATCAAAAAGACTTTGGTCTCTTGTTATATTATTAAGCCAACTCCAACTTCGTTCAATTCCCACTCAATTCCCACTCAACTCAATTCAACTCAACTCAACTCAACTCAACTCAACTCAACTCAACTCAACTCAACTCAACTCAACTCAACTCAACTCAACTCAACTCAACTCAACTCAACTCAACTCAACTCAACTCAACTCAACTCCAACTCCAACTTCCAACTCTCAACCCTCTCCCAAGTCAAAGTCAGATCATTTCAAAGGTATGTTTTCAACTGATATCAAAAAATCGTTGCCCTTTTTTCAATTCCTCGTCATTCTTTGGTTACAAGATCCCATTTATTATCCATTAAACTTGCTGACCCCATCTTTTTTCTCCAGCCTTCGCCCTCGATACCCAGTTTTGGTTACTTTATCCACAAAGACAGCCTCTCGATTTCATCCATCCATACATCTATTCATCCACCCCCCCTCCCCATCTCCCCCATCCCTCATTAATGCATATTGTCGCACCAAGGAAAGGACTCGTGTGAATCGCTTCACTTTACTTTACTTTCTCTCGCCTCTCACGTCAACTTTTAATATTTACTCTTTCCCACATTTTCGATCATTGGGAACGGGAAAAGAAAGATTGGTTCATATGAATTGTTCATTAATCAATAGTTTCAAATGATCTCGGTAAAAGGATTTCTTTGATTCATTCACGACCACTTGTGGCAACCAATAATCTCATCCTGTATTGTATTGACCCACCCATACGACCTAACTCTGGGAACGTTAGAGGGTTGAACGGCGCTGCACAATTACAACAACACATCGCTCAACTAAAACATGGCGCTAGTTAATGGAATGGTAGAGGTCGTCAAGATCGTCGCGAGGCAGACTACAATCGCACCTTCGTCAACAGTAGCAACTTCGTCCCCGATCTCATCAACCTCAGCATCTGCTACTCCATCTACACCAGCATCGTCCAATAACAACAGTAGCCCAACTAGTTCGCCACTGTTGTTCTTCGTTGCGCTGGGATTTGGTGTCGTATTTACAAATTTATGGTAAGTACCTTAAGGGGTTCGAATGTCTGCTTATCACTAACCTTTGCGAAGGATCATTGTTGGTGTCAAATACTGTTTTCGATACAATGCTAGGAATCGGGCTGCGCGAGAAATGGGTGAGAACCCAATCAATCTCGATAACATGCCAACCCGACCACACCGAAGGCGCCGGGAAAAGAAGCTCATGACCATGGACGAAGTGAACGAACGATTTCCTTTGACGAAATACAAAACCTGGGTAGCAAATCGAGCTAGCGAAGGACTACCAACTAGTGGGGGTGTTACAGCGCCGCCAAGCCGAGCTGCAAGCGTGGCAGAAGTGGAGGGAGTCGAGCCATCTTCGCCTGTTGGAACAAAGCATTCTATCAACACCAGGCCAGCCACGGCCACTTCGAACAGAGATGAAGCAGCACCATCATCGCCAGCACATACTATGAGAGGTGGGTATGGCGACAGAAAGAGTATGGATGCGGTAATTGCGGAGAAGACACCTGCAATGACCGAGGAGCGTAAGGAAGAACTACATCATTTGGAAGAAGTTCCAACGAGAGCCAGCACAATCGATAATAAGAATATTGCAACGGTCGAAGACGTTGAGGATGACGACGAGGATGATCATATTCATACCGCCGTACCTCCCGAGCTCCTCAACAACCCAGGAGATTCATGTGCTATCTGCATTGATTCTCTAGAAGAGGATGATGACGTTCGTGGTTTGACTTGTGGTCATGCTTTCCATGCCTCATGCTTGGATCCATGGTTGACCAGTCGTCGTGCTTGCTGCCCACTTTGCAAGGCGGACTACTTTACACCAAAACCCCGACCTGAAGGTGAGCCTGAGCCTGAGCGACATTCACGTAGAGCACACGCCTCGAGGGCAAATATGCCCCAACAGCCACAGTCAGCTTGGACTGGAATTCGAGGTATGCCAGGAATATTCGGAGCATCCGCTAGGTCAAATGTGGATACCCGAAATCGTGATGAACGACAAACGAGGCGGGCACGCCAAGCTCAAGCTGGACCGACGAGTGTAGCAGCCGATGGAGGAGCACCCGAAGTCACCACTGCTCCAGCAGCAAGCAGATGGAGGCCAAGAATACCGGCGGCTTTCACCGGAATCCGCATGCCTGGTAGTAATAGAGCCACAGAAAATGCTTCGGCACAATCAGCCAATGCCGAGCCAACACCTTCTCAGCTAGAAGCAGGTCATCGTTTTGCTTGAGGATAACTGAGCTTCAACTGGGAAAGTTGAGTCGTCTATTGAGTGTGTGGGGAATTGTCGAGAACAATCCGGTGATATTATTGGCATCGTCACAGTGAGAATATCTGTGATCGTCTCATCACGAGTACATACCTACCAAGCTATACCTAATCCTTTGCAACCATGTCTCAACAAATGTTCCCAAGTCGCCTCCCATTTACTGACATTCCCCATCAATCTACCAATACGAAAGTGCCCATGCCCCAATCCAGCAAACGATCTCAACCCACCCCTTTTCGGTCGTCTCAATACCTAATTTCGATCCGTCATATTCCAGGCATTGTACATACACTCAGATATCAAGACACTCGATACATGTCAGTATTTGAGCTAGTCTTCAGAATTTTCTAGTCCGTCACAAATCTCTTATGATGTTGTGCTCCTTTAGCGAATGTTTATCTTATCTTATTTTACTTTTATTTTTCTTTATCGACATATTTTCGATTGGCCTCGGCTCCTGATTCCGGTTTCTGGCAGGTATACATGGTTCGGGGCCATGTGAATGGGATGGCGGATGGATGGGAAGGACGGGATGGGCGGGAACGGTTTTCAAAGGAAATTTGAAAAGGTCGATTCCGGGGTGTTAAAGGAGGTGACTGATGAATAAACGAATGAATGAGGGGGGGGGGGGGGGGGGGGGGGGGGGGCAGGCGGGACACATAGACCAAGATATTATTTCACTTTTATCCGATCGCATGGGATGTATATGTATGGATGGTTGGGTGGGAGGCATGGCTTGAGGGCATGTTGGGATCGGAGTCGACGGTTGCAAATACAGGGCTGGCGGACATAGTAGTGCGGGTGATCCATTACATACAATAGCTGATATCAAAGAGAGAAATACTCACACTTATACATCGTTGTTCTTGAACATATCTACAATATACCTACAATAAATGCCGCTTTGAATTGTATGTAGTATGACGCTCTGAATTGCAGGAAACGGAAGCGTGGTTCAGATTAGAAATTAATCGAAAAGTCAAACAAGTAAACAGAGGTGCTCCCAAATACACAAAAAGAGACATCCAAATTGAGTAAATTGTGAATATTAAGTTAAGTGCTTGACTACCTAAGTACCCTGCTATGCATTCCATAAAAATGAAACTGACACGCGCGCCCGATATCTTTTAACATACATCCCCCTTTGCATGCATTCTCATGGTATTTTCCTCCTCCCCCGTACTTCATCTTCATCTCATGGATCGTGTTGTATCATATCACATCATATCAAATCATCATTTCCAGAGACGAGCCTCGGGAACGATTAATTATTAGACCTAGAACTCATCTTCTCCAAGTTACCTTCCATCCCATCAAATCAGCAGATCTTCAATCCAATCATCTTCCTACACGAATGACACCGGCAGCGATGAGTTGTTGGATCTTAGATCTGATTTGTGGATTCTTCATGTGTTCTTGAAGAGCGGCGGGGTCATTTTGAGCTTGTTGGAGAATGCTTTGCATGACTGGATCACCCATGATTCTTTGGATCTGTAATGGTTGTTAGTATCACAGTCTCGAAAGCAACTACTTTTTAACCTACCTCAGGGTCTCTTGAAAGTCTCTCCTTTGTCTGTTCCTCAGTCTCATTCTCTCTGGCACTGTACATGGCAGTAACAGCCTTCTGCTGTTGCTGCTCAATTTCTCTAGCATTGGCCTTTGAAACATCAGCCTCGCTAGCTTCGTTACAAGCATCAAGCGATTTGGAGTAATCTCTCATGCCAAAGTATGCTTGTGCTTTTCGGATGTATGCTCTGACAAACTTAGGATCCTTGGAGATTGCCTTGTCGCAATCTTCCAACGCAGAAGGGAATTCAAGAAGCTTGATGAAAGAAGCTGCACGGTTACTGTAACCTCTTGGATCCTCTGGAGCACGCTTAATCATCTCACTATAAGCCTCGACTGCTCCAGGCCAATCTGACTCCTTGAACTTTTGGTTTCCGAGTTCACGAGCCTCTTCAGCCTTTGCTGGGTCGATATAAGCTTTTCTAGCACTATCAATCTTGTTCTTCTCTGCGGCACGGAGCTTGTTGACGACGTCAGGGGTACGGTGCTCGGTGAGCGACTTATTGTAGTTCTCAATGGCTTTTGGCAGATCTCCCATCTTCTCATAGGAAGTTCCGATACGGGCGTATGATTTAGCGATCATCTTGAAATCGGCGTAAATTTCTCGTCCCTCTTCAACAGCCTTCTCACATGCCTTAATGGCCTCTTCATACTCTCCCTTCTCGAAATATGCAGCACCAAGGTTATTAAGATACGTGATATCCTTGTAGATTTCCCAAGCTTTGCTGTAATGTGCAATGGCCTCATCAAAGTTCTTCTTCTTGTACTGTTCGGTACCAAGTCTCTTTTCCTCATCGGCCTCGGCCTTTGCCTTCTTCTTTTCGGCAGCCTCCTCATCCTCTGGCTCCGGTTCTGGCTCGGTCTTGGCCTTCTTGGCTTGTGGTTCTTGCGAGCTTGGACGTACATCTGGCATTGCGATATCCTCCTCAGCCTCCTTAGGCGCAGAAGCACCCTCAGCACCTGGAGCGCCACCGAAAGCACCCGAATCGGCGAAAGACATGTCGACACCCATCAGGACACCCAAGACTTGAATCATACGTGGATCTGAGAAGAGATCTTGAGTATTGCCTGGGTTGGACTTGATTTGTTGAAGCTTTGACATGAAGGTTGGGTCTGAAAGGAATTTGGCGGTCTTGGGGTTTGCTGCTAATTTAGTGATGAGTTGAGGATCACTGAACATATTTCCTAGTCCTTCTGTTGGATCACCCTTTACGCCATCTACAAATCCTTTGTTAGCAAACCGTCCCATGTAACTCTAGACTTTCCAAAACTCACCTGCTTTAGCCTCTGCATCAATAGATTTCTTGACTTGTGCCAAACCCTTGGTAGCAACGGCATAATTTGCATCAAGCTTCAAAGCCTCTTCGTAAGCATCATGCGCCCCCAAAAGATCTCCCAAACTTTGCTTAGCAGTACCAACTCTGCCCCATCCCTTGGCCCAGTCAGGCTTAATACTCGTACACTTTTCAGCATCCTTCAAGGAGTTTTCAAAGTCTCGTTTCGAAGCATATGCAGCCGATCTATTAGAGTATAGGATGTGGTTTTCTGGTTCGATAGCAATGGCTTCGGTGAATTTTTCGCTGTGAGGCAATCAGTAACTTCTCTTCACGCATATTCCTCCTCAACAAAAACCCAGTGCAACGATACCATAGATAGCTCTTAGGAGTTATACAGTTTTAGAAAGACGAACAAAGGGAAAACTTACACAGCCTCGTCGAAATTCTTCTCTGCAATGGCTTTATTGCCAGCAGCTTTTAATGCGTCCGCCATGATGTGTGAGAGAGTTATGAAAGTAGAAAATCAGAAAATATGACAATTAGAGGTCGAGGGTAATACTAAAACTCGAATGCTCAAATTAGAAAGTTGGGTTGGAGGTTGGACAGGCATCTCTTTATTTTCCCTCCACTTGTTTCCAGAGCTTTCGATGCCCGCCTCGAATGGTCCGAGCTTCTTGTTCAAATCACATGAGTAATTACTTTGGGATGGTGGGGGAAACAAGGCTCGAGCAAGGCTATGAGGCTATCAAGGCTATCTATCCAACCTCTTTGACTACTCCTAGGGGTCTAGATGTCTAATGTCTAAATGATCTTTCTGAGTCCCTTTTACTATTTCTATAAACTACCTAGTATACAAAGTTAACTTTTCACTTCAATGTCTACTTTTACACTTTTACATTTTACACTTTACATTTTACAGCTCTAAAACAGGGACTATTGCAATCTCCAGACCCCTAGCCTAACTTAGAATTCAAGCGTGGTATTTGATGCAAGGTTAAAATTAGATAGATGCAAATCAATCACACATACATAGACTTCTGTCTGCCTGTCTGTCTTGACCAAAGTTAAGAACTTTAACTTATTATCCTCCAATGTTTGACACCCGGAATTCAGATCTTTTTTAGAATATACTTTTACCACTGTTTCTCTAGAAACAATCATCACACAACTAACACAGTACGAACATGCAGGTATCAACGTTCATTTTTAATCTTATTATCATTGCCGTCTCCTTTCCTTTATCACCACCCCCCTAATCGCATGCCTTCCCAATGTTCCATTCCATTTTGCCAACTGGCACTTCTCGAAAATGAGCAAGTACCTAGTCTATGAGAACTTTGTATCTCCCATCCCATCTCCCCATTTCATATCCCACAAATATATACACAAGTATGAATGGCCTCCTCTCCTTGATCCAGTGACCCCTAAGACTGGACTGATAAATGTCCATCCCAACTCATTCTCATTCCATCCCCAAAATAAAACTAGCAATTATCTTCTCATTAATGATTCAGTAGATACGTATTATGCTGTATGCGATTCAAACCCTGAGTCAAAAGCAGAAATGCCAGCTAGCATTTAGGCAGGCCAAAATAAAGAAACCCCTCCCCAAAAATAACATAAAAAGGTATCCATCAATAATGCATGCGTGTGTGAGAGGTGCGCCACCACCTCCAGAAATATGTGCCCATTCAATCAATTCAAATCGTCAATTGGTGCGCTCGTCTGATGGTGCTTTGTCGTATAACAAGAAAAAAGTAGAAAAACACAAAAATGTTGAATGCAAAAGGGGCAAAATTCCAATGCAAAACAACAGAGATTGGGAATAGAGCGTCAAGCAAAATGAACCATCCATAGCTATGCCAAAATGAAGCAAACAGCAATAAAACCCAACTAAACGACGATATGTGGATGGTCCTTGAATGAAAAGGTGCTGGGGAACCCATTAATCATTGGACGAATTATTATGAAAAGTCGTCATCTCCGCCACCTTCTCCATCAAGGACATCAACTCTCAAGACCAATTCTTTGGTTTCTCGAGCAATTTCGAACGCGATAGGTGGTAGGCTTTGATTCCAAGCTCGCCATTCTGCATCACCTTCGTCATCTTCTCTTCCCTCAATTGCAATTTCTCTGCCCTCCTCGCCTGCAGCCATGATTCTCTCTCTGCACCCAGAAAGTTTTGTCAAGACTGGTTGACATTGTGAGCGGAGCGCTGGATTGTTAACCATGGCTTCCTCAGTAGAAGCAACAACTTCACCAACAACACTGGCAATTGCATCAATCTGGGTTGAAATAGCATTTATACCGCCTTCTGAACGAATGGAAGAGACGAGAGACTGAATGTTCTGGACTAAGAGCGCCGTTTGGTCTTCAAGATATATCTGCGAAGAGTATCATTAGCATAAGTAAGTCCCTGAGAGATCATTTAGTTCCATACCTTGAGATCTTCAATATCACTATCTTGCGATCTGAGGCCAAACCCTGCCCCCATTGAAGCTGGCAGGGGGCTTGGAGGACCACTTGGGGGACCTCGGGGCGCTTGTAGTGCCAGTGGAAGTGGCTTCGCGCTTCCATTAACAGGCTCGGCGCCATTAGTCATTGGGCTTAAAGGGGGTTCTCTAGGACTAGGTTCAGGTGCGTTTAAAGTATCCTTTACAGAACTCGTGGGAATTATGATTGACTCGCGAGGAGAATTGATTGGACTGTACATAGACGAATTGGTGCTAGCGCGATTATTTCCTAGACCAAGGAATGGGCCAGGAACATAGTCATCAAAGCTTTCCCTCGGTATGTCCTCGCTTTGCCTGTCAAAATTGTCTAGACTGTGACGTGGTGAATCCATGCTTTGTTTGCTATTATTCTTTAGGGGTTGAACATTCTCTGTTGGTGGTTGAGGGGCTTCTTGCTGTGGTGGAGCATTCTCTTGCTTGACTTCACGTGATGCAAAGAATCCAAAGAGGCCTCCGGTGGAAGGCTTAGTTGTTGCGGGCTTAGGTTCAGTTGCTGTTGCAGGCTTAGATGAGAAAAGTCCTCCTATGGTAGAAGGTTGAGTTGATACAGGCGCAGGTGCTACTACGTCGTTTGAGACTAAAGTACCGTCACCATTATCTTCTAGCTCTCCTACAGGCGTAGGTCTGATCTTTACCGTCCGGGCAAGCTCAACTACCGCCGTGGTAAGATGGGAAGCGGCTGCATCAAGCAAAGAAACAGGCGAGAGTCCCTTGGCCCCAGCAAAATTCTTGGATGCAGTGATCAGATTATTCGCCGTCGCCGAGAGTCTAGACTTAAGCTTGACCTGCTTCTGGGCTAATTCTGCACTACTTTGTGGTGCTTGGTCGATATCTTGAGAGATTTGTCGCACGTTGATGACTACATTCTTCATGTATTCAATGACCTTTTCAGGGTCGCTGGAGCGTGCAATCTGTAAAAGCTCATCAATCGAAAGTTGAAACTTAGTAATATGAACATCCTTGATGAGACCATTCTCTGCAGTAAATCCAGTGTCTTTGGCATACTTGGCTGCATCTTGTATCGAGAGGCCAATTGAAGATGCTCTTAGGGTGCGTAGCTGCGTCTTTGTTTTCGCATATCGATTTCTCCATTCTTTAACTTCATCCTCTAACTTGTTGACCATGGTCTCAAGTTGCTCCTCGCGTTCATAAGATGCAGTACTTCGTTCGGACAACATCCTCATTTCGCGAAGGAACTCCTGGGCTTCACTTCGAACGTCCTCGGTGATTTCTTGTTGCTCTCTGAGCTCAGCTCTGAGCTCTTCGTTTTCCCGTTCCAGATCTGCATCACCGGATCCCATGCCTTTACCAGCGTCTACAAGAGCAATTTGAAGCTCTTCAATCTGAGTCTTCAGCTCTCTTTCCGAATTGGCTTGTGAGTCCCGTGCTCGGTCAATCTCTGATTGTAGAGTGTCGTTAAGATTTTGCGCATTTGCCAGCTTGTTTTCGAGATCTATTCTAAGGTCTTCCCATTCCTTTCTATCCGCGTCTACCGATGCATCCCTCCCCCTTTGCTGGTCCATAACAATATTAAGTTCATCATCCTTTCGTTTCAAGTCATCTTCCATGGAATCAAGTCGTTCTTGAAGCTCTGCAATTTGGGATTGGTAATCATCAATGAGTTTCTGATCGATCTGTGAAGTTAGAAAATAATTAGAGAGAGAAATAGGCATTGATCTTACCTCTGAGCCCCCAATGCTTTTCTTACTCTCTCGGTCTCTTGCAGCTCCCTCCAATCCGAAAGCATCCCCATCATCATCATCATCATTATCTTCAGGTCCGCTCCTCATCGTCTTCACCATAGTACTTTTGTTCGGAACAATCGTGTTACTTTGAAAGGTTTTTGGTGTCGGTCGACCGTAATCATTAGGTGGTATACCAGGCGAAGGTGGGATACCCAAACTACCATTTGGACCATTTGGCGGCGCCATCCTTGAGCCATTGCGGGATTCGCTTCTCTCACTTCTCCTTTCGCTTCTGATTGAATACGGACCTATAGAGCTGGCGTCTGAAGGTCGGCGCATACGGCTTGGACCTCTAGGTGGCATATCCCAAGGTGTGCCATTCCATTCCTGCTTGGGGTCCTCTTGTAGATACAGGACTACCCATGCGACTTCTATCACCAGCAGTGAATTGCGGAAACCTTCGCTCCAATTCATAAAATACATCTGTAGCTAAATCTCTAAACCTGGGCGGTGGCAGCGTAGACAACTTCTGGCGGGCCTGATTTCGTTTCGGGTGGAACGTGTTTTTCGGCAACAAGTACGGCGGAGGTCCTTGATCGTTTCTCTGTCCATTGGGAGTCCTTCTCCCTGCCTGCTGCCTTCGTAGAAGTTCATCAAAGACATCGGTACTGAGTTCCTGGAATTGAACAGGAGACAATCGTAGCAACTTATCTCGCGCTCTGTTGGGTCTAGGATTCCCCTTCTCATCTCTCAATGACGCTGCCAGATATCGTTTCAATGAAACGTAGTGCTCTGATAGTAAAGCCTCGAATTGTTCATCTTTCTTGTCCTGCCCACTTTCGCTTCCTGCGTATAAACCTGTGCCAATACTTGAACGGCCGATGGAGCTTGGAGGAGATGGATTGCCAGGGCTGCCACCAGAAGGACCTCTAGGCGGGAAATCTCCCCCATTCATTGTACCGTTTGATCCGCTCGATATCGGCGGTGAAGCAAGCTGTCCGCGATTCATCTGGTAGGGCGAATCGTTATCGTCTTGATATTTTTCAATTCCTGACCATTCGTTGTTGCTTCCTATTGAAACTGGTGACAAAGGTCCATTGCGATTGTTCATCGTAAAGTCGTGGTTATGAATGGAATGAGCAACCCTTTGGACTCGGAGAATAGATCAGCGCAACCCTTCGATTATTGAAAAACAGGAGCGAGACACCTCGAAAGCTTAATAGCTGACGGTTAAGGTGCGAGAGAATGATATATCGTGTTATGTGATCAACACATGCGATGCAGACAATTTCAGGCTGGAACAACTCAATAGTCTCCTTGAAACGAAGTGAATTGACAAGGTCGTTCGGTCAAAGCGAGATAGCGAAGCTGAAGGATTGGAAAATCGGGGCAATTAGAATGGTCGTATTTTGAGGAATGAATTCGTCTTGAAGTGGTAATGACTGTGTAACTGAATTGTTGTACAGCGACAATGAATTTTACCTTGAGCAGGTAGGTTGGTTGGTCGGTCGAGGAGAACAAATAAACTGTGATATGACGTTTCTACACTTTATTCTAGAAATCGCAATTCATAGGTTAATTTGTTGAAAAAAGAACAGAGAATTTTGTTTGTGCGTAAGAAAGTAAGTACCGTTCCAATTCCAATGCAGAAAGTAAAGTGGTGGATGGATAGCTGGCTGGCTGGCTGGCAGGATGTCAGGATGGATGGCTGCTTGTCTTGATTTGATGCAGGTGATAGCTAAATTCCGAGTAATTTCGAATGTATCCTGGGGATTCTTCTTTTTCTCCAGTTGTCCCGCCAGTCAATCAAAATAGGTCGCAAAGTCTCAAAAGATACTTTTCTCTCCTGAATCTTGGGTTCACCAGGTTCACTTTCGCGTTTAGGCTAGTGGTAGCTACCTTTTGCGGAATTGAATGTGGTTGGTTTTGTTTTCCAGGAACGCCCGTCGCCCAGCTTCCAGGGGATTTATTAGATTGGGTCGTGGGCGGGTATTGAGATGGAAAAGAAGGCCGACAAAGATTCTATACCCGTGTAGTCGATCGATAAGGAAACGGCTTGAAATTAGGGGAAATTGAGTTTGGGGATATTGATCAGATTTGTTCAACATGTGGAAAGCTTGAAGTAGTATGGCATAGAAAAATGATTTGTAACTTATATAGACATGTGACATCCAATACCTATGTTGGTAGAATTCCATATTTCATTATATATGCCAAAACAGTATTTCCCATCTTCTACAAGGATTCTCTGCGATGCATGAACAGCGGCGTAGATGTACGAATTATGTCATGGAAACGGTGATACAAGACAATTCAAGGCGAAACAGAACTTCTAGGCAAAAGGAATATCCCCAACTTCCCGCTCTGCACTTCAGCTCAGCTCACCTCGATTGTTCAGACCATACTGACTCAGAATACTCAGCAGCTAGATATAACGTGGTTTATCACCGAGTGGGCCATATCACCGAGTGGGCCACTTTCACCTCAATTCACACCTTCAAACCTATATTATTCAACAACGATTGAATCAATTGATTAAAACTATTAAGAATCTAATAATCTAGGATCTATTACATTATTTTGACAGGTTCTTGTATTATGACCTGTCTTTCCGCATTTACTACAATACCGAATAGAAAGTGCTTCCCTATTAGAATTCCTTTCTTTTTGACGCTCGTCGCGTTGAATCTGAATATCAACCTCTTGCTGAGATAATATATCAAGAGCCTCTTGTCCAGTGAGTACTCCTCCTTGACGCAATTGGGTTTTTTTCGCGCGTCGACGCTTGCTTAATGCCTCATTTGCCTTTCGAAGTGTACGAATCTCTGCACTCAAAAGTGTGTTCTCATGAGCTAATCTCTCTGTACCTTTAGCTAAAGCTAATACAGTCTCGAATATAGGTGTAGGAGAGCTTGATTGATGTCGAGTTATTCGAGATTTCACTAAAGTTGATTGAGAAAGAGCTTCAGTTGGATTGTGAGGGGTTTGAGAGATCCATTGATCTAGATCGAAAGAGGGGGGGGTAGGTGTACGAATTCGAATATCCAATTTCGAAAGCACAGCATCAGGATCAAAGGGTATTAAACCTGCTCCTCTGAACCCTGATTTCATATTCTGAGAGGTGATTGATTCTTCGTATGCAGCTTTAAAAGCTATAAAGAATTCAACCTTCGAAATATGATTGATATGTGCCTTGATAAACTTATCAATTTGACCACCATATGAACGTTTCAGATTCCTAAAACAGCCTACATCAAGTGGTTGAGTTAAATGACTTGAATGCGGTGGTAGATTCAAGCATATAATATCATTCTCTTTGCAATATGCCTGAAAAGCTCTTGCTCCATGGCTTTCATGCCCGTCTAGTATCAACATTCGATATCTGCCCTTTCTTCGATTCTTAGTATGCTTATCGAAGTGTTTCAACCATTCTAAACCTGTCTCATTGTTTGTCCATCCATTAGATGTAGGTTTAATAGCCCAATCCGCAGGAAGATCGGTTTCGGTATACCAATTGGAGAGATGAACTTGTCCCTGAACCACTAGAAATGGGGGAATAGTTTCACCCTCTCCATTTCCACATATTATTGCTGTAGCCCATTCTCGATTGCCTGGCTGTATTGATTTACTTCTGCCACATCTTTCGGCACTAGTAACAACCATTGCTGCAGATATAATCCCCATCATAAAGCCTGTTTCGTCGAAATTGTAGAAATCGCCATCCAAAATGCCGTATTTCGCTCGCATATTCGCAACCACTCGAAACCAATCTTCAATGAGCTTAGGATCTTCGCAGAGAGCTCTTTGGAAATCATAAACACGACTAAAACGCGTCTTTAATTCAATTCGACATTGTACGAATCGATATGCCCAGAGCTTTCCAACGCGTTTCGAACCCCTCGATTCAAGAATATAATTCGCCATATCTTCTATATTCTTGATATTGGGTGGAAATCCTCTTGAATCCATATCAAGTATATATTCAATAATCACATCCTCTTCCAATTCTGTAATTTTATGGCAATTCGCTCGAATCTCTATACGTGGAGTTAAACCGTTCATTCTATGGCTGATCGTTGTGCGAGGTATATTATATAGCTTAGCAACCTTTCGAATGCTTAATTTTTTATCTTTTTGAAGAGCTTCGATGGCTAAAAGTAAACGTGCTTCTTTATTCGTAGATTCCATAATAAATGGTTGATAAAACGCGTGTTGAATATGAAGAGTGCGAATTGAGGTGAAAGTGGCCCACTCGGTGATATGGCCCACTCGGTGATAAACCACGTTAGATGTACTCGAGTATACGATTATGCGATTATACGAGGATACGAGATAGATAGATATTTATCACCTCGTAAGAATACCTAGGAAAGTAATCGCAATCCATCAAATGCGATGATGCATACCTACCCAGTACCTACGTAGGTAAACTCGTAAACTCCATATATTCTTACCTCCAAATCCCTAGACCAGGAAAATCAGAAAATCAGAAAATCAACCAAAGTCCAAAGATCTTTCGCATCTTCAAAGGAAAATCCGTTCTTCCATTTTCATCATTCCTCATTTCCTTCGCCAGCTCCAGCGATCAAGAGCAAGGGGAACCCGCCATACGCGGCTTCTACTTGGTCAATCCACGCGGTACCTTGTTCGGATGTACTTAATTTGTGCAGATGTGGATGATGTACAGCTTTTGGTAGATATCGTCTATAATTGGAATAATAATGAATTGAAAGTATTCAAGTATTCGTTTACGAGTATATCACTATGAATTCCATCTACATGGTACAAACCTAAAGTATATACAACATCACACATTGCATTAATCCCAGTGTTCCCTCCCTTAAAACATCAAACCTCAAACCTGTCATACTCAGTCACAAGTACAAACCTAGTATTCCCCCGTGAAGAGGAAGAGATAGAGGAGAAGGCGTTTCGACTCATGTCAAGAAGGATCTCTACGAAAATGTTGCTACATAGTACTTGCATACCTAATCAACCCGGTGATTCGACTTCAATTAATCCGAGTTCCAATCTTATAGAATAGAGTCCTTTTCTGCTTCTAGATTTATCCCTTCTTTCACAAGTTCTAGACTATCCATGGCCGGAGTAGAACTTTGAGAACTTCGTTAGCCCTTTTGACGTTTTCAATCATCGGCCCCCATACTCATCAATCTAATCCCAGCATATCAATTTCCTTGGCCTGTCTCTTTATTTCCCTTTAAGAACCGTTCAAGCACAGCCATATTCTACTTATTAATTTCAACGGGTTCTGGGTCACCGGTCATTAGTGTGTGAGTAGGTCATGCTAGGTACGAATCTGAACAATGCATTATGCGATTGCGAGTGATATCAAGTATTTTATTCCTCCATCTTTCTTTCTAAGAAGACGCTCATTCATATCAAATCCCCGCCCTGAACGCCATAAGAAATGGGTATACCCTCGTAATCTCAACGCCACTATAAGAAAATCGTAATGCATGTGTTCAAAACCATGCTAATGTCCACACTGCTGGTAGATTTGGCCATCTTTCCTGCCACTCTCCGATAATTTCCGGCACTCTTTCATCAAACCCGGCCCTGCTATGGGCACTACCGCTGTCAAAGCCGGTAGGATTGAGTTCCCTTTCCTCGGCAGCAGCTTTATTGAGAGAATCGGCAAGGTCAAGAATTCCCCGGCCGCCAACTAGAGCCTCTTCATGATTATCTTTGATATCAACATTGATTACATGCACGGGACGATTTAATGGGGAGCCACGATTGAGGAGGTCATCCACGACAGCATCCCAGCATCTTTCTTCACACGTAATAACAACGTCAACGACACCTCCTTCTACTCCTTCGGCACCTTGATCTGTATTATGTTGTAGTCTTGGAACACCGACTTGCCAATCTTGCCATCTCTCTGGGCCCCATTTTACTGATCTATTCCGGCCAAGCATATTCAAGATACCATTCGCGCGATAGAGACGCGGATCTTTAGATTCGAGTTCTTTATACATGCTATCATATGAAGTCTTGTTGAATTGGTAGACATTAGGTTGTGTTATGGAGGGCCCTGGTAATCTAACTAAAGAACCTGTTCCAAATGATATTACAGGGTAGTGAGCAGCA